TGCTGGAAAATAGGAAAGCAATTTACTTTTGTGTATTAACCTTGTATTCTGCTACCTTGCTGTGATTTCTTATTAGTTACAGAAGGGTATTTTTGTTGATGTTTCAAAATTTTATATATAGGCAATCATGTCATCTGAAACAAGAATAGTTTTAGTTCTTCTCAATCTGTATACCTTTTATTTCCCTTTCTTGTCTTATTGCATTAACTAGGACTTCCTGTATAATGTCAAATAGGAGCAGTGAGAGGGGCATCTTTGCCTTGTTTCAGATCTTAGCAGGAAAGTATCTAGTTTCTCACTATTAAGTATGATGTTAGCATTAAGGTTTTTTGTAGATGTTCTTTATCAAGTTGAGGAAGTTTCCTCTAATCCTAGTTTGCTGAGAGTTTTATCATGAATAGGTGTTAGATTTTGTCAAATGATGTTCCTGTATCTATTGACATGATCAGATGATTTTTCTTCTTTATCCCTTTGAGGTAATGGATTACATTAATTACATTAATTGATTTTTGAATGTTGAAGCAGCCTTACATACCGGGAATAAATTTCCCTTGCTTCTAATGTATAATTCTTCCTATACACTGTTGAGTTCAATTTACTGTTATTTTGTTGAGGATTTCCACATCTATGTTATGTTTATTGATCTATAATTTTCCTTTTTTGTGATGTTTTTGTCTACTTTAGTATTAGGGTAATGCTGGCCTCATAGAATGAGTTAGGAAGTGTTTTCTCTGCTTCTATTTTCTGGAAGAGATTAGAGTGAATTGGTAATATTTCTTCCTTAAATGTTTGATAAAATTCACCAGTGAGATCTAGAGTTGGTGCCTTCTGCTTTAGAAGATTATAAATTATTGACTCAATTTATTTGGTAAATGCACACTAATTCAGATTATCTATTTCTCCTTGTGTGAGCACTGTGAAGGCCCTAATAAGTCTGGGCCCTTAGGAGATTTTATATCACAAATTAGTCCTTGCTCAGTCTCCAGCAATTAGTCAATTACCTTTTCAGTGTCTCTCTTAAAGGCTGCAGCAGCAGCTTCTGCTCCCAGTAAGCTATGATTTTCTGTATTCACCTGTCTCTATAGCTTTTAGGGCAATGGTTTGCCCTGCAGCATCAATTCTCTAATGAATCTAAGAGGACTTGTTGATATTCATTTTGTTCAGCTTTTTTCTTGTGGTGAAGATGGGAGCGATGCCTTCCAAACTCCTTATATAGATAACAAGGAAGGTTGAAAAATAAAACCGGTCATGCAGAGAATGGGAGAGCAAAACCACTTATGTGCAACTGCTTACAATGTATGAATAGTTGGAAAAACTAATCCCGCTCTATATACTAGCTATTTTCAAAGACTCTCTCTCAGTCTGAAATGGTAAACCTCTAAGGTTGATATTATCATTCTCATTTTCAAGTTAAAACAACAACTGGGTGTCTACATAACTTGTATGCTGGATTTAAAATTTCCCAGTATTAGATGTGCACAAATTTATTTTTCTATAACTGATTTCTGCTGGAGACAGAAAACACTATTTCTAGTGAAAAGTAGTTCCAGTCACTTTACATTAAATGAGATTTAGGAGGAGAACTCTTCCCCTTCCTTTCTGTTGATCTGGAAAGTCCTGTGGTACAGATGTTCATGTGGTCATCTTTGGCTTCCCAGTGTGCCTCCTGGCCAGGACTTTGAGGGTGATCCCCCATCTTTGCATCCTTTACTCAAGTGTCCCCACTTGGTAATCCCTCCTAGCTTCCAGGCAAAGCAATCATGTGGTTCTGTGCTTCCTTGGCCCCACATGAGCTCTCACAGAGGCTGCCAGTATGCCAAGACTCTGCCATGCCTTCTACCGACTGACTCCTCCTCATGCCTGCATTGAAGCCAAGGAAGAGTGGAAGAATAGAGAACATTTCAAAAGTACAGTCCTAGAGACAGTATGAACCAAATTATATTTTCCAATTAAGTAGCTTCTAAAGTAAGTCCAGGAAAGGTAGAATGGCAGCTTCAAAAGTTCTTTGCTCAACCAAAAGTTTGTTCAAAAGGTCACTATTATAATCAGATACTGCATGGCACATCAGTTGTGTAGTATCTGACATTTTAACCACACATAGACAAAAGAAAATCTTTATTAATTAGGAAAAATTAAAAAAATTATTAAGGCACTGTTACAGATATTAGATGACCTAATGCAAATATTTTATGTCCTCAGAAACTTAATCAACACATAATTTTTTTTCCTGAAGTGGTGTACATGTATAAAGATTGCTCACCACTTACTTAGAAGGTTGTTACAATAACTCGGACTCCTAGCCTAGAACGATCCCAGGAGTAGTGGAATAGAAGAAATTACTTGACATGTATAGATTGCTGTGGAAAATGCTGGGCTTTAAATGTCTCAGGGAATGATGTGTGATAGGTCACTAGCCAAACCTTTTCCCTATTTATTTAACTAAAGGTATAGCATAAAGACAAACTGTAACTATTATTAAAAATGAAGTATTCTATGTTGGTTCACCTCTTCAAATCTTATATGCTTCTTTGTAACCAAAGGAAAACTAAAACATCTCTTATGTTTTATAGCCATTTTATGTATTTAGGCTCTTCTCCACTATTTGCTTCCAGGTAAATTTGGACCGTACTTGACATTTTTCATAAACTTCAAGATGTGTCCCACTATTCGTCTGGAAGAAATTGCAGGTGGTGATAGTTGTTTATGCATAGAACTTGGGTTTAATTATTAAGAAACTTTGTAAGCTTTAATATGTATTACTTACAAGATGTGTCCTGTTAGTGTCTTAAGTAGTAAAGAGGATATTTGAGGAAGTGTATACTGTTCAAGTGGGATTGAGAGGGGGTGTGGCCCACAATTTTTGTTTTTTGTTTTCAGGGTGTTCTTTGTTTTTGTTTTTCTTTGTTTTTAGTTGCCCACCATTGCTTTAGAACCTGTTCCTTTTAAGTTTGGAACTTGATCATTCCCAACAAGCATTAGGCATCCCATCCCCTCACTCAGCATTGGGCGGTGGACATTTCATTTTCAAAGTCACAGAGCATGAGAGAGACAAATAGCAGTATTTGCACTGTGCCATATGTCAGTAGGTCTTTCTGGACCATTATGATGATGTCTTTCCTTTCTAAATAATTTTTACAAATATACTGATGAAGACAGATTTCTGTTGCCCATCTTCAATGGGTCATAAGTTGAAATAGCACTATATTTTTTCCTGAAAATATGCAGTTGTGACATGGTGTTTCATAGTTTTAAGCTCATTGCTGCCAAATGAACACAGCTGTAAGAAATGATGATCCTCTCATCTTTGTAACAATAAAACCGCTTCCTAATGTGTTTCCCTAACTCTGAACATTAACTTAATATTCCCCTGGATTTCTGAGTTCCATCCTTTCCCCCCACGGAAATCCATGAAGAATACAGCTTTTGACCAAATGACAGAGCATAGAGGATGAAATTAGTTGCATTAAATTATGATATGACAAAAAGCCTTTCAAAATCTTTGTCACAATGCAACATCCAAGCAACATTAAACAAAACAGAATAAAAATAGACCAAGGAAGAGAGTTAATATTTTGAAAGGAAATTTTGTGATCTAAGATCACTTGCAAAATTTGAAAGCCATTGATTGAGAGCCTGCATGCTATGGCAATTTCTGACTTAGAGATCCTACTCTACAATAATATATGTCGTTTCTTGTTCAATCTTTGGATACAGAATTAACTATTACTGTACTTTTTGGTACATTTTTGTATTTCTCAAAAAAGCAAGTCTCCATTGGTAGAGCTAGCATTTAAGAAAATAACAGAGAAGAGGAGGAAGCAGAAGATACACATTTTTATATGATGTTTCTTGTCTTCCTATTTCTAAGTACATGTATTTAAATAATAGCACACATCTGTAAATTAGTATAAAAATCAATTGTCTTCTAAAAACAGAAAGGAGAGTTTTGATACCTGTCTCCTTTATTTCTATCATACCTTGGGTTTATTTTGTGTTAGTTTATTTTTTTTCCCCTGAAAGATCTGATGTTTATTTTTTAAGTTTAATTCTACCATGTTGAGTTGTGGGAAAATAAAAGCTTTTGATAGGGTTAATCTAACCACATAAAATTCCATGTTGAGTATGATCATAATCTTGATCTTTGATTGGGTCTTGAGCTAGTAATATCTTGTGATTAATCAGAATGGGTTGTACTGCCTATCGTGTAAGTCATCTTCACAGATGGGATAGAGAATCATCAGAGTTCTTTTGAATATTTGTTTTAATCCCTTCTAGGATAAAATGGCTTTGGATTTTTTTTTTTTTTTTTACTTTAAATCAGATTGAGCTCACCAAATAAATGAAGAAGAAGAAATTTTGAAGTCCAGTTTTGCTAAGATTATAGGTCAAAAAAGAAAAAACTTGTTTTTTAATTCACAGTATTTCAGTGTTTCACTGAACGTGTTTCATATGTTGTCTTGTAAAATTTAACAAATATTCCTAGTCCTTTGTAATTTGAATAAAAAACTCTATAAAAGAATACAACAAGATATACTTCATGGAAATAATGTTGAGCTTTTTATTGTTCTCAACAGCATAAAAGATTTTTCAAGATTATTAACTGCTCCTCTTCTAATTATGTAATTCCAGTCTAAAGTGACATCTGATAACAAAGAGCTTTACTTTGGCAAGTAAACTACCTGACATCTAACACTCAGCAAGAGCTCTCATACATAAAATGTTTACTGAGTGTAGCTGTCATTTCAGCCAGCCATTTGGGTCTTACAAGATACAATTTCTCAAAAACGTTGCTCACCAAAAGCTGTGAATTGAACTGTCTACCCCAAAGTCACATACTGGTGGGACTCAATAAATTCATATCTATGATTATATAATAATCATTAAATAAAATAATTGAAAAAAGTTGTGTAATTCATCCATTCACTTCTAGGCTGGATTAATAACCCATATGTATTAAAATAAGGACTTCATTTTTTCTTGTTTGTTTATTTTTCTTATAGGAGACCTGGTGAGCCTCCACTGATAAAAGGCTGGCTTCCTTACCTTGGAGAGGCCCTGAAATTACAAAAGGATCCTTTAGGTTTCATGAAAACTCTTCAAAAGCAACATGGTGACACTTTCACTGTTCTCCTTGGAGGTAAGCAACACTTCTATAAGTACCTTCCGTAAATCATAAGTTCCCCATTGTTCCTTAAGTTGTTACATTTTTCTATAGACAAAATATGGAATATTTATCTTATTGTTTTGTTTGTAGACTAATACAAAAGAAAACTGTGTTTTTGAATACAGTGATTTTCACAGTAAAAAATTAATTATAAAAATCTTGAGGGTACCTAGGGAACCCTACTCTCCTGCCATCACCTGTGATTTTGGTTTGGTTTGGCTTGGTCTGATTTTAAGAATGATTAAAAGGGAAAAAAAAAAAAGCTAGAATGCATTAACAGACTTCATTTTGTAGAGCAGTTTTAGGTTTAAAGAAAATTGATCAGATCTGAGATTTCCCATATATCCTGTTTCCCTTGATCAGAATTTTCCTTATTATATCCCATACTCTGTTGCAGCTGATGAGCCAGTGTTGATATATTATTAACAGTCTGTGATTTACATTAGGGTCCACTCTTTGTGTTGTACAGTTCTTCGAGTTTTGACAAATGTGTGTCATGGATCCATCATTCAATGGATATTATTCACTATCATAGAGAATAGTTTAATTGCCCTAAAATTCCTCTGTGTTCCACATATTCATGCCACTTCCCCCCAACCTGAGCCCCTAGCAACCACTGCTGTAGAATGTATTTTTAATTTTAATAAAAAGTTTATTATGCTTCTAACTTCAATAAAATGCTTACAAAAGAAAAAAGAAAATGGCAGCAAGATCACTAAACATCCCAGCATCATAGGGCTGAGAGGAAAAGTTGGGACGTTCTTCACTCATCCTCCTTGAAGGCCCATGTTTTCCAGCTGTATCAGCTATCGCTGCATAACAAACCTCCCCTAGATGTAATGCCTTAAAGCAACCAGTCTTACCTGAGTCACTTTTGTGGCTTGAGTCATCTGACTGCTTAACTGGGACTGGATGTTCCAAGATAGCCTCATCACATACATGCCTGGCTGGGCCTCCTTGTACACATGATGTTTCATTCTCAAGATGTCCTTACATGGCAGCTAGTGTTTCAGGTGGGTGAGAAGAAAAGCTGCAAAGCCCCCTGAGGCCTAGGCTGCGATATTACAAAACCTCATTTATACCACATTTTTTTTATTTTTTTATTTTTATTTTTTTTTTTTTTAAGATTTTATTTATTTGACAGAGAGAGACACAGCGAGAGAGTGAACACAAGCAGGGGGAGTGGGAGAGGGAGAAGCAGGCTCCACGCTGAGCAGGGAGCCCGATGCGGGGCCCGATCCCAGGACCCTGGGATCATGACCTGAGCTGAGGGCAGACGCTTAACAACTGAGCCACCCAGGTGCCCCTATACCACATTTTATTAGTCAGAGCGGTCACAGGCCAGCCCCAACTCAAGGGTAGGGAAATACACTCCACCACTTCCTGGGAGCATGGCAGAGTCCCATTGCAAAGGAGCACACGTAGAGATAGAAAGAATTTACTGTGGCCGTCTTAGCACACAGTCTTCCACATCAGCTTATCACCGGGCTAGCTATTCCTTTTCTTCACTTTTGTATGTCCTATGTCCCAGAAGTCTGATCTGTACAGACTAGATTATCCTCACTTCTTTGCCCTCTGACTTCTGGCTGGGCATGCTGGTGGGAGGGCAGGAAAGGCTGTGTTCCAGGTCCCCATTTCTCACTGGGCTCTAGCAACACAGTTCACTCTCCTTCCTTTCCTTCCCAAGAAAAATGAAGGCATCAGGTATGATCTCACTCAGACCCTCACATATCTACCAGATATCCCTGTGTCTCACAACTTTCCTTGCTACCTTTTCTCTAATTTCAAAGAATGTTTAAGAAAATCCATTACCTGTACCCATCACCCTTACTTGCTGCCTCCACAGGACTGGTGTTTATTTATTCCTCCCACACATATATCTTCATTTTTCTTTTCTCTCTTGGGTCCTTACCTATAGCTTAAAACCATGCTTCTCCTATATTCTCCTTCTAGTTACCTTTCATTTCTTTTTTTTTTTTTTCTCTTTTGCATCCCAGTTTTTCAAGAGAGTTTCCTACATTTGCTGCCCATACTTCTGTGTGCCTTGCTGCGGCCATTAATGGACCTTCACTGACTAGACCTCTCTACTTGGTCTGACAGTGCAGATCCCTCATTCTTCCTTAAAACACCCTATTCCTTCACTCTATTGATACTGCACCTTCTGGTTCTTTCACTGACTCTGAGTATTCCTTATCTAGGTCATCTTTACTTATGCCCCTTTCTTTGCTCAACCCTTTTCATCTTTCTCTAACCAGCCTTGGAGTTTTCTGTTCTATTCCTAAAGAATTTAGGTGATTTCTTCTTACTGTAATTACTTTGTTGAGTATCAGAAGCAACCTTTTGTACACAGAGCAACTTCATTTCAGTGCCGCCATTTTAATGTAATGGGGAGAAAAAACAATGATCCAACTGGATGACATTGTCAGCATGGCTGAGTTTTCACATGAACAGGCAACATCCATTTCCTCACAACTTACTCCTTTGCCTGGCAAGTCTCTCCCCATGCTCTGATTTCAGAAAAATTGAAATGGAAAAAAAATCATGCATCTTATAGCAATTGTAGTGTAGTCCCCACAAGGCTTCCCGAGATCTGGGCACCTCCTACCTCTCTGGCGTCACCTCTTGCTACTGCTTGCCCTAATGCACTATTAATGCACTAAATTGTTTGAAATTTCCTCCTCACACACCGTGCCCTTTTCCTGTGTTTCCTCTTGCTGTTTTTTTCTGCCTGAGTGCTGTTCTTCTCTTTGTGAGTCCTCCTGAAGAGATGACTGACATGGATTCATCTTTTGAGGCCATAGTCACATATCACTTTCTTCCAAAAGCTTCACTGACCATCTCTTCTCCCTGGTTATGTTTGATGCCTCTTCTCCAGGCTCCCATTACTCTCAGTATCACTCTGTAATGGCATTTAATAAATTGTGAATTTATTGCTAATTCATTTGTCTATTTCCCTTCATTATTCTTTAGTTCCTCTATTGCCAGCATTTAGACCAGAGCTCAGCACTGATTGATGCACAATAAATATTTGATGAGGATATTCCCAATACCTTAGAGCTGATGAAATACTTACTATAATACAAATAAAGGCCATAGCTGGTGCTTTTATTCTAAGTGAGCTTTTGGCTTCATAATAACAAAACTCTGTTCTTCACTTTAAAAAAAAGTAAGTCACTTACTTAAAAAAATTAAATTTTATGAATAGATGCAACAAATTAGTGGACTTTTCAGTTTTCCCTTCTAATACATCATACAAAAATAATCTAAACTGATTAAGCAGAAACTTGTGGCGAGTTGAATAATTTTATTCACTGCTCAAAAAACAACCAATTTCTGCTGATACTTGATATCTTAATCTTAGACACTAAGAAGCTTGCTGAATTTCTGATGTCCAAATAATTTGACCATGGCCATGTTTTTGAACTCAACAGTACATAAGCAGGGGTTGAATATGTACTACCACTTCCCTTTGGCTTCTTACTAGAGCTTGAATAGATTCCTGTCAAGTTATCCTGTTAATGTATGTGGTTCTAATGATCAGTTTGCAAAATAGCACCTTTGGAAAATGTGAAACGAGGGACCAGAGTCTTCCACCCTTGTCCCGTAATGTGATTTCCACTAGTGTATGTTCTTGCATGATGAGCAAATGATTGTCATCCCCAAATGTCTCAAGGGACATGGATGTCATCTTAATAAAGAATTTAAAAGGTACATCTTTTCATGAGAAACCACGTAAATTCGTGACCTGTCGCAGAAAATAGTTCTCTAATTGGTTTTGTGTGGTGGTGTAGCAGAGTCGTTTTCCCTAGATGTCATGGCAGTGAAGCACCACTGTACATCATTGTCAACAGCTAGTGAAATCTCCCTAATAAGAGGGGGAGTATGTAATGTGGTCATCCTCATAAAATAAAAAGTTGGTTCACATTCCACTTTCTAACGAGTATTTTCAGCTTGACCTTCTAAAAAATTCTATTGAAGAACAAACTAAGCTTATAATTATGGAAAATCTCTTTAAAATCCAAATTTATCTCATATTTGCTGACAGGCATTTCTAAATCTAAGGACTCAAATAGTTGTTCTGAATTCCCATGGATGTTGCCTCTGTAAAGCACCAAATATCTGAGATGAAAACATCAAAATTCAATTTATAATGATCCAGAAGTCAAACTTTTTGTATATAGGACATCAGGGTGAATGATTTACTTTTCTTTTTTTACATTTACTGATGTACTTTGCATCATGTAGCTCCACCTTCCTGAAAGAAGTAATTTGGAAAGAAGTAAAAAGGCTACTGAGTTAGTAAAGGATCATATGCAGGTTATACAGGAATGCTAGAGTTAGTATCTTAAGACCCAGTCAGCTCTGAAAAGGGAAGAGAATAAGATTATTGGCAAAGAAGACATTAAAAATTTTGACCCCATTTTAAATTTGCTGCTCAAAAAGATGATTATATATAATCTTACATATTATATACATTTATATTTTTTTTGCAGAAGTGAGCCCCATTTTGACATTTCTATTTTAGACAAATGCAAACTCTGATATTCTTTAAATCAGTATTTCATATCAACTACTGACAGCATTCTTTTCTCTTTTGAAAACATGACAATGAATATTGTTTCTACCTTGTGATCTTGGTAAACTAGGCAACTTGCCTATTGACACTTGGTATTCATTTACATAAAATCACACTGGAGCAAAAGTTAATTTTGCTCCAAGAATACATGGCCTTCAGAATAACTTTTCAGATTTCCTTTGTTAAGAAATTTAAATTCATTTTATGAATGTATGTGTGTTTTCCTAACTGTCTGATTAAAGATTACAAAGAAACTCTGGTTTTGCATCTCACATTAGCAGATGGTGGACAGATGGTTTAAATTAATATTAATTTTGGAAAACTTAGCTTAAATTGTTTATACTGAAGATTAAAAGTTGGAAAGCCAACTAACATCTCCAGGGTTATTAGTACTTCCAAACCCACTTGAAAAGTAAAATCCGGAAAATGAAAACGTCTACTTTTAAAGCAATCCACATCTTACTCAGAAAGATAGTTAATAAAACACAATGCCTTGAGGTTGAAGAAATTAAAATAAGAATGAGAAGGAGAAAATACAGATCCTGGAGTATAAAGAGCCTTGAAGAGTGAGAATTTTTTCTACAAATAAATTGATTTTAACTAATCAGTAATGATTTTTTAAAAAGAACCTGTAATAACTGCTCATTGAAAAAACTATTAATAATTGGCTGCTAACTGGAACCAGTTTTTCCACATTTAGGTTTTATTTCTTTTAATTGAAATGAATCTCATAGTTTCTTCCCATATCCTTACGCCCAAGGGGGAGAGAGAGAGGGGAATGTATGTGTATTTGTGACGAATTGTAGACAAAAACTCTCACATTCACACAGCCTCTATTTCAGTAGGCCAGTGGCCAGTAGCTCATGCTGTCTTGGCTGAATATAGTTTTATCTTTCCACTTAGATTTTAATGAATGTAGAAAATTAGTAGGAAAAATTCAAAATATTCCCTAAAAATTGCATGTTTTACAAACTGAAACTTTTATACATTCTCTGAATTTTAGTGGCTAATTTAAAATAACCCTAAAGATATTTAGCAAAATCTTCTCATTTGGTGAAAGGAGGAAAGTATGAATCACCACCTGTGAAAATACATAGCTTTGCCTAAAATTATATCTTTTGCAAAATGAGAGAATTCACTCTTTTTTTCAGTTATTTGTCAGGCAGATGCTGGCAATTTTATTTAATTAAGATGCTATGGTAAAGCAGGTGTCATAAAATATGCTCCAATCCGGTTGAGTCCTTTTTGCTCTCGCTAAGGGGGAAGAATCCAGTTTACTTTATTGATGCAGCTTTGGGATCTGACCAGAATGAATAGCCACTTCTAGCTTTACCCTCATTCCTAGATTGGCCCACCTTATTAAATAAATCAAGGAGAAATATGGTGAATAAAATTCAAGACATATGATTTATTTTTAGAAAAAAAATCTTAGCACATCTATATGAATGTATATTAAAAGCTTAAAGGATGTTTTAAAATTGTAAAACAAAAACACATTTATCCTGTTTCAAGAATTAGGTTGAAAGTTACTCAAAACCTTATTCTAAATCCTGTACTACATTGAATTTAATTTCTGTGATGTTGTTTGAATTACCAATAAATAACAAGTGAGGCGTTGTTGGTCTAAGAAAGTGCACTCACATACACGCACACACACCAGAGGAATAATAAAGTGAAGGAGAAGATGTGAATGATCCTACAGACTTTAATGTCTGTTGTTTTCTAGAAGGCAATAAATAGGCATTACACTTTGTAGGATCATCTAAACTTCATGTGTGTTCTTGGGAAAGAAAGATTTATTAAATGTCATTATTAAATACTATTTGCATAATACTTCTATTTAGGAGTCTTAAAACAGCACTCTAGTGAGAAGAAATCAGCCCTGTGTGAGGAAGAGAACAGTGCATGGGGAGTGTCTTCTTGTCCAGGCTCTGCGGGGAGCAGGGTAGAGCTGGGAACTCTTCAAGGTTCCGACAGTTTTGAGAGCCCTACCAAAGTAGGACTATGTTCCTCACTATGCTGCCTTGAATCACTTCAGGACCCTATCAAAAATAAAGACTCATAGGTCCCACATCTCAACCTTCTGAATCAGAATCAGGCAGAAATCTGTATTTTTAACCAGTACCCTATGTCTCTTAGTTGGGTAAGTTTGGACAACACTGATCTATGAAAAGACCAAATGTCACCACCTCAAAGAACTCTTGCTGATAGGTAACTCCCAGCAGACCAAAGCAGATTTCACTTTCTGCTTCCCTTACCTTGTGTTCACACCTCTGCTAGAATGATTTCTTTACATCTTTTTCTCTTAAGAGGAAAGAGATCCAAACAAGTATCTGAATCTCAGTAAGTGTTGAATGGAGGGATGAATGCATGAATGGACAGGTTCTCGTTTGGAATCCTGTTTTAGTCACAAATCAGTAAGTAACCTTGGACATGTTACCAAATCTCCACGAACCACCATTTTCTCATCTATAAACAAGAAAATGCTGGCAGTTGTGATTTGGTATTTGTCACATTAAACATTAATTGGTGAGTATATGCTTCATACCACATCTTCATTTGTCTGAGTTAAAATTATCATGTCCAACCAAAGCTAAGATGATATGAAGTATGAAATGGCTCTCCATGAAGTGTAAATAATAATTTGATATGTTCGTTTGTTTTCTGTTTGTATTGTTAGGGAAATATGAGAAATGTTTAAGTCAAGGGATTCTGAGGATGTTTCAAGGGTAGTTTAAATATTTGGGTATTTAATTAAAATAAAAGAGTATCTTTTTAACCAACTGAGCCACCCAGGCGCCCCCAAAAATAAAAGAGTATCTTTTTAAAGGTCATTCAGAACTTAAGAATATTAGAGTTTCTCCCACTATCTTCCATTTTTAAAGGAAACGTGGGGAATCTTTGAACGAAATGGATATTTATTAAACTGCACCTTTCTACGTGTTAGTTATTAAGGTCTTTATAATTTTGATTAAAATCTTTTCAAATTTCAGGTATGTTGTTTGTTTGTTTTGCTCCCAACTGAGCTCATATTCTCATTTATTTCTTTTAGGAAAGTATATAACGTTTATCCTGGACCCTTTTCAGTACCAGTTCGTAATGAAAAGTCCCAAATTAAGCTTTCAAATATTCACTAATAAACTATTAAGGAAAGTATTTTCCATTGAAAAGTTGGCAACCAATGATGACCTGAACAATGACCTTCATGGCTGCTATCATCTTTTACAAGGGACGTCTTTGGATATACTTACAGAAAACATGATGCAGAATTTAAAACAAGTGTTTGAACTCCAGCTATTAAAAACCACAAATTGGGACACGGCATACCTGTTGACATTCTGCAGCTCAGTAATATTTGAGGTCACGTTCACAACCATATATGGACAATCTCTTGCTGGCAATAGGAAAAAATTTATTACTGAGCTAAGAGATGATTTCTTAAAATTTGATGACAAATTCCCATATTTAATATCAGACATACCCATAGAGCTTCTAGGAAATGTCAAATCTATTAGAAAGAAACTTATACAACGCTTGACATCAGAACACTTAGCTAGTACACAGGGATGGTCAGAAGTTGTTCAAATGAGGCAAGATATCCTGGAGAAATACTATACGCTTGAGGACTTTGAAATAGGAGGTAAGAAACTTCTGAATGATTACTTGTCTAAAATAAAATAATTTACAATAGACCTTTGAAATAAAAAGACAAAATGGTGACCTTGAAAATTTTTATGCTCTTTCTAATTGGCTAGTGATAAAATGTTTTACTCTGAAATAACCCACTGTGATAATTGATTTTTTCTTTTTTTTTCTTTTTTTTCCTTTTTTTTTTTTTGCTGAGGTGGTAAAACAAGATACTTAATGGGGATAATGAGAAAGAGTATAACTAAGCTGCATTTACTCCTCTTATCTTGTCCCCCACCTCCCCAACCCCCACGCGCACATTACATTTTAAACTATTCTCATTAAGCAGAAAATTAGACTTCAGAAGCCTATTGGTCCTCATTAGCATGCACTGATCCTTGGCTGGGTCTGTGTCCTAACATCTTTTAATTAGCACACTGCAAATCTAATCAGTGTAATAAACGCTATTAATCTTCCTTTTCACTTATTTTCTCCCAGCACATCATTTAGGCTTTCTCTGGGCTTCTGTGACAAACACTATTCCAACTATGTTCTGGGCGATGTATTACCTCCTACAGCACCCAGAAGCTATGGCAGTGCTGCGTGACGAAATTGACCATTTGCTGCAGTCAACAGGTCAAAAGAAAGGGTCCGGATTTCCCATCCAGCTCACCAGAGAACAATTGGACAGCCTGGTCTACCTAGGTAATTTATTTTTATCTGTTATGAAGAAAAGAAGGTACCTCTCTGCAAACTCAGTTTATCACTCAAAGCTGTTTACCAAGAGGTGGAGGACACAGCTGCCTAATTGACATAATAACACCCATTTACATCAATTATAAATTATGTAGTTTATAGCTGTAGATACTCTCATTACATGTAAACATTAAGGCCTAGGTAATTAACTATGCAAGGTATGCAAAAGGCTAACCCAAAGCTTTGCAATTATTTGAAAAAAAAAGTTTATGCCTATTAAGTCATTTGATTCTGAGCATCTGTTGGTGTGCTAACGCTTTCCAAACACTGCTACACTATCTTGACAAGAAAGGTATTTGGGGATTGAAAAAGAGAGTATTTCAGAAAGGCAACTTGTATACAAGATGTATTTATTCTTCCCTAAAATGGTGTCTATATTTTCAGGCAGAGGTTAGGATGTTTTATACAGCTTGAAGTGTATGATTCTCAAAAAGGTAGTAAAAGTGATTTCCCCTGGAACTTCCTGCTTTAAACGTACTTGGGGGAGAAAAAGGAAGAAGAAGGTAGGAAAAAAAGGGAGACAGGAAGGAAATAAGAAGCAACAGCTACTAATTACTCCATGTGAAGTGTCAATATTTTATAAAATATTCACTGACTCATGAGATATGCATGGTCACTATTTCAAATATGTTTGAGGTCAGGAGTGACTAAGTCATTTTTCTATTTCTACGTAGACCTATACGCCAGCGATGGGAGCTTTTGATGACAATGGATTGCATTCTCCTTTACTGGTTTTGATAAGACACTTCATATCTTTATATGAATAAACTTTAACTCCCCAAGTTAAATTCCATATCAACGAGTTATTTTCTGTCCCTTCTGTATTGACATTCCTCCTGTGATATCCTTTACTATACAATAATCCAAGACCCTTTGGACGCATGTTAAGAGTAAGTCTTTATATATCTCTGTTGCTTCACTCCTCTGATAATGTAGGCAAGTATTTTAGCCTATGGTGGCCTCAATTGTTTATCTTTTAAGTGTGTTCCAGGTCCTTTGATGGGAACTTCGGGGAGCCAAGAACTTACAGATCTTGAGTAGTGTTGACTGTCGGGCGACATTAAAAAGACTGGCCCATGTGTTCTAGAGAATGTTCCCAATGAGTAGGCTAAGACCCATCAGGCAATAGCAGGAAACTTGTCTTGTAGTGACAGTGGGTTAGCTTGTTCAATCAATTGGGATAAATGTGTCACCTTCTAGTTTGTTGTTTGTTAGCATACATTAGCAAAGTCATTCTATATTTGCTCGGTGAAAGAAAATAATCCCAACATTTTTAAAATACAAATATTAATTTGGTTTTCTTTGCAGAATTATTGATGAACAAATCCAAAAAATTTGCATAAAATTCTGGGCAGTAACCTTCACATGGATACGCATTATTTTGGGGGTAGAAGATTTATAGTTCTATGAAAATCAAGGTTGCTTTCCTATGTATTCAAGTAATTTCAGTTGTATTTTATGAATCAGATGATGCATACTGGAAACTAGAGCAAATAAACTTAAAGGAATATGTGTTTGTATTCTGTACACAGTTATTACTTTTAAAAATTTAGTTGAAATTCATCAACTCTCTTCTTACTTTCAGTGTGTTGTTGAAAGAAAAGATCATTTTTTAAAATGACGGTATTGAAGCAGAAATGTTTAAATGTATTTAGTCAGAAAAAATGGCAAGTTCCAGCACTACACTTTGGGTCCGTTTAATGGACCCAAATCTCTAGCCGGAGCTAGAGATTTTCATGCTTGGAGCCCTCATAAATTTGTGGCTCCCTTATCGACAAATGAGCAATAACGATCCCAAGAGAGTGTAGATCTACCTGGATAAAGGAAGCACCTTCAGCAATCTAGAAAAGGTGGATGTTTGTTCATCGTGACCTTGGTTACCAGCAGAGGCCAGTGTTGTTCATTACGAGAATTTAATCTTCTAGAAAATAATGTGCATTTTTTCTTACATGAGATAGACAGTTTTATGCAGACTGAAACAAATTTTTGTATGAATCAGTTACACAACAGATAACCTCTGCATCTAGTCGCAGTTCAGTTGTGAATATTCCTCTATATCAGAAGAGTATGACTATATGTACAAAGGGAAGATTTATAGGATTAAATATTTGCAGTGTACCCCATGGTATGGGTGTATGTGTTTCCCCTTTTTCATGTCCCTAAGGACAGAGGTCTATGTATTCCAAGTGCATTTCTTTATAAAGAAAGCTATCTTTAATTTTTAGTATTATAAGGAAAAAGATCGCAAGCATGAAATGAATGCTGCTTTTTTTTTAACGAGTAAGAAGAAAGAAGATTTTTTTTTAACAAAGATTTTGCATGTCAGCATACACTGATTATACAGTAAGGTTGAAAGGAAAGTTAGACTGCCATAGAAATGAGTGCCTTATTCCTGAACAAGAATGATTTCTCTTCTTTAGAGTGATTACAGAAGACAAAGCCCAATGGGACATAGGTTTATTGTGATGCAAATCATTGTGCATATATTATTGACATTTGTGGCTCAATCCTGTATGCCTTACATGTATCAAATTTCCTCTGACATCATACACACTTAATATCAGCAAAAGTTAAAATATGTAACATAGATTGGGCTTTTAAGTACCAAGCCTGTTTAAGCAATTCAAAGCAATCATCTGTTGTAAGAGGTTGTGAGGGATTTATGCTTTTTTCCAGTCCTCTTGAGAATCTTTCTTTAAAACCATTCTACCCTTTTCTTTTAGATAAAGAAAAACACAACTTTCTATTTTTGTATATTTATGTACCTTATCTTATTATAAGGACTCTGCTTATCATGACCTCACTAAAATTTTATATCTCTCAGTGTTTAGTAAAGGTCTCTACAACAAAATTTAAATATAATTTTAAAAATAAGTTAGTAACTACAGTGAGACTCAGGTAAGTGTCAGTGGGGGCCTAAATCTCAACAGGAAGAGTTGCTGTTTGAACAGAAGTTTGAGAAACCCTGAGAGAAGAGTACGAATTTTTCAGTTTTCCGGGAAAAAAAACCTGGGGTGGAGGTAGGATTTAGAACTATAGATTTCCAAGACAGGGAAAGGAAAAGGAGAAAAGATGAGTCAGAGAGAAGATAAGACAAAAGAGAATGCAAGGAGAGGAAGCTCTCAAAATCGGAATTTTGACAAATGGAAAGCAGATAACCTCACTGGAGTACTACTTCTGACTTCCACGTTTACCTAGATAATGTATATACATGACTTAAAAAGTATGGGTTCAATAAATGTCATCTATTTCTATCACCAAAATAATCTCTAATCTCAGTGCTATCCCTACTACAATGTGCATGTTGTGTTCTTCATTTTCAGTTATTTGTGAACCAAGCTGGTTGCAAATTCAAGTTTATCTTACCCCACAGGCATGCTCTTTCTGTGCATCACACATGAAAAAAAGCAAACCTGCTTTAAGTAAGAAGAACATAAGTCAAAGTGGATTATAACTTCTGAACTGAATAACTGAGTAATTCAGGCGAATTGCAGGCACCTAATTTTGTTCAATTATATATCCCCAAAATGAGAATAGTCGCACATGTGGTGGTAGTGAGGGATATTGCAATAAAAGGAGGTGCTATAAAACCAAAGCTCAGCAAAATTTGCACAACTTTCTTAAAAGGAGATCATATATTATAAAATGTATCCCTAGAATTATAAGCCTGCAGTGATTCTCCAACAAAATTCTATCAAAAATTGCTAAGCCCATTTTTTGTAATTAGTGAGGAGAAAGAAACAGAAAGAAATGATCAGTTAGAAAAGACAAAGATCCTTGAATAACAAGTGATGAGTATTAGATATAGTCGATATTAAATATATTAATGACCGCAAAATTTTAAGGCAATTTTACGGACTCAAACGTTGTTTCATGTGATCTTCACCAAAATACTGGGGGGATTGGGGCAGCGATTATTTTGTCATGATTTTTATAGATGAGAAAATACCAGGATGCTAAATAACTTGAATGGAGATAAAGGGTTTTCTGGCCACCCCCAGGCTTCTCTTGGGCTTGTCTCATAGCAGAATCCTTGGAGTCCTTTTTCATTGTCTTAGCTGAGAGAGGGGAGGGATTCTTTGTATCTTGATTTAGCAAAGCTAGCCATGATATGCACATGTATGAGATCAGATAATTTGAACAAGATAATGATAGAGTTAACTATATTTTTAATTTCCAGATGAGACAGTACGAATGACAATATTAACAACTATTTATTATGTGGTAGGCACTGTGCTACCTGCTTTACATATATTAGCTTATTTAACCCTCAAGTATTATTATCTTCATTGAATTATTAGACAACAAGATTCAGAAAGATTAACCAAGTCAAGGCATGCAGCTAGACTGTGGTAGAACCAGAAATTGATGCTCGGTCTCACTTAAAAGCTAGCCCATAAATACTGTCACTGCAAGGGGAAAATGCTCCAGAACTATACCAGAGACATTGACCACTATTTTACAAGGATATGGATCACTAAGGTTCACATCAGAATCTCGTGGGTGTTTTTTTTTAAATAAAAATAAATTTTTCATTTTAGAATAGGTTTAGATTTACAGAAAAATTACAATGATGATAGAGTTCCTATATACCACCCCCCGACACACACATACAGTTCTCATTAACATCTTCAATGCGGTTGTTTGTCACAGTTGTGGGTATTATTTTGAGAAAAAGTTCATTCAATATTAAAAATAACTGTGTATTTGAAAAATCATACAGGGACACCTGGGTGGCCCAGTTAACCATCTGACTCTTGATTTCGGCTCAGGTCATGATCTCAGGGTCATGAGATCAAGCCCCACATTCAGCTCCACACTCAGGGGCGAGTCTGCTTGAGATTCTTTCCCTCTGCGCCTCCTCTTGCTGGCACATGTGTGTGCTCTCTCTCTCTCTCAAATGAATAAATTAATTTTAAAAGAAAAGAAAAATCGTACATAATTTAGAC